CTAGAAGGCAGGAAGTGAAAAGTGCTAAATGAGTGGTCTAGATCTGTGCTAATAGTGTAGCCACCAGCCACCTGAGGCTATTAAACATTTGAAATGTGGCTAGTCCAAATGGAGATTTCCCAAAAGTGTCAATTACACTCCAGACTTCAGAGATTTAGTATGAAATAAGGAATGCAAAGCATCTCATTAAAAATTTTTATATTGATTATATGCTGAAATGTTAATATTCTGTATTATTGGAGTATTTATAGCATTGAAATTAATTTTGCCTGTTCCTTTTATCTTTTTTAATGTGGCTACTAGAAAATTTAAGCTTGTGGCTTGCATTTTATTTTTCTTGGACAGGACTCATTTGAATGGGAAGTGTGATGAGAATTCAGAGCAGGATAAAGTTGCTGTGGGTTGGAGTCATCAGTGAAATCTTCACCAAGGATAAGGATTTCAAAAAAATTAGAAAAGACAAACCAAAAAAACAGACTCTTAACTACAGAGAACAAACAGAGGGTTACCAGAGGGGGGGTGGGGTGGGGAGATGGGTGAAATAGAGGAAGGGGATTAAGAGCACACTTATCTTGATGAGCACTGAGTAATGTATGGAATTGTTGAATCACTATATTGTACACCTGAAGTTAATATAATACTGTATGTTAACTACACTGGAATTAAAATTAAATTAAATTAAATTTAGAAACAAGAGGAATGGGATTTCAGTAAGTAGACAAATGGGGGGAGGAAGCTACAGTTGAAGGGAGCGTCAGTACTGAAATAGGAGAGTTCATCTACGGAGCAGAACAGATTGGTCTGCCTCAGATCTTGGGCTCCTGGGTAGGGAGTGTGTGTGTGTGTGGAGGGGAGATGAGGGGAGATTCCAGGATAGGTTGGGGCCAGATTGTACAGAATTTTGAGTGCCAAGAATTTGTGGACTTTTTCAGGACAGACTGCTTCCCCAGAGAAAACCAGACTCTGCCCCATAGCTTATGGACTAACCCAAATTAGGCACTTTCTTCAGGTGGGGACAGAGCAGCAGAAGCTCCTGGAAACTGCCCAGTGAGCAAGCAGCCAAGACCAGGCCTGCTTAACCAGGGAATAGAGTGATGCGGAATGTGACTTTGGAGTGGACCGACTTATTTTTGTGTGTGCAGGAGGGACAGGGGCGGTGAATTTAAGCACACGATCATGCTAATAATGTCAGGAGGGAGAGGGAACCCTGGGTAAGTGTACCCGCTTGATGACTGATCTGAGAGTGGGGAAGCAGACCTTTACCTTGGTGTATTGCTCTAGACTCATGCATAAACAAATTGAGTCATTCTTTCTGCCTCATTCAGTCTATCTTCCTTTATTTTTATCTTTATTTTTCTGAATATTTAGTAGAACTTGTGTGTCGAGCGTTAACATCTAGCTTGGAAGAGATGAAGTCAAAAGACCACCAGGGAGGGTGTGCAAACCCCTGGGCTCTTATCTAGGGTCAGAAGCTAACTCATTGAGTAACTCCGGTCACCTCTCTGGGCCTCAGTCTCTCCATATAGGAAAGAGGCATTAGAATCAGATGAGACCAAGGCTCCCTCCAGCTCTGTGATTCTAGAATAGGCCCATGTCACAAAGGGAGAAAAGCATCCCATAGCAATCAGGTACAGGGCTACTGGGCAAGGTGGGAAGGAGGATGCTGGGCTAGTAAGGGCAGGTGTGAGTAGCAGGCACAGGAGCTGGCCCAAACCTTTGGGTGAGGCTGTTCTCCTCCTAGTGAGCGGACCCTGCTGGAATTGGAGCACGGTGAGATCTAAGAGTTTGATATTTTGGTCCTGGCACCCCTATCCCTCCCAGGGGCTGGCTCACCAAGGTGAGTGGAGCCTGAAAGGAGGAAGCCAGGAATTTACCTCTAGGCAAGTAAGTCTCTGGGGGGCGGGGGGTGGGGTGTGTGTCTCAGATTACCTGGGAAACCCCTGAAGAAAAGTGTGTGTAGCCCCCATCTACCCATCCACCTCCTGACGCCCCTGGGCCCCCCGCAGTTACAGGAGTGATTGGTGGGGATGAGGAGAGGGCGCCCTGCGAAGGGGCTTCGGCCTGATCTTGCTCTTTAGCATTTCTAGAATAGAGAGTGGGTGGGACCCGACTCAAGTAAAGTCCCGGAGACTCTAACACTGACGCACAGGAAAGCCTCAAGTGGGCGGAGAAATGCAAATCTACTACTGACAATGGCGTCAGCGGCTTTGTCCTGGGGACTGTGAAGGGCGATTCTGACTCTAGACTTGACACCGCCTGGGACCTGGGCTGAGAGAGCCAGGTAAGTAGGCAGAGCACACCTTCGTGTTGCTTCTCCGGAGGAGCACGGGCCAGGAAGTGCTTATGCAGGATGCTGCTAAGGCTGCGCTGTTCACTCGGTGCTGCGACAGTCGCTTCACTTTAGCTGGTGTGAGGATGGGTGATTCTACACAGCGTCCGGCTCCTTGATCCAGAGACGCGTTGGGGCGCGTGTCACAGGTCTCTCGGTGACACTCGGGGGCTCAGCCCCCACATCTGCCCGGTGGGAGGGGCACTTGTGGCTGATGCGGAGGTGTGTCCTCGGGAAGTGCTGAAAGTGAGCCCACTTTCTTAGCTTCTCTGAGCTACAGTGCCTGACTTAGACTGAGTACCTGGCTTTCAGAAACAAGTCCGGAGCTGGGGTAGCCAGTGGCTGTGGCTTTGATGAGAGGGAGTGGTATTTTAGGGCATGTCATCTCCATTGCAAGCTGTGTGTCACAGAGCCAGAGTGGCACTCTTAGCTCCCAGACAGCGTGACAAAATGCCCCTTTATTTAGGGGCATTATTTAGGGGCATTATATTAGGACTTTCAAAGAGGATAGACAGGCACTCAATTTTCAGAAGAAATATTCCATAGTTTTCTTGTGACGGGAGAATGAGCCCTTAGAGAGTGAAAGCCTAGAAAGGAACTAAGGATGACTAAAGGCATTTCTAGAGGCTTCAACAGAGAAGAGGGTCCTTGGACTATACACCTTATCCTTCCCGTCTTCAGCCTTAAGTTCAGCTCTCTGGAAGGTGGACCCAGCTCCTAGGAGTAATTTATCTAACTTTGGGACAAGTTCAGCCCAGTTAATTCTTAGTTAGAAAACAGATTTTCACCCAAATCATAGCAAGGATTTAAGAAAAGTAGTCATGATGATTATAATGGCATTTTCAGCTCATGTTCTCTCACCGTTATCTAGAATAAGTTGACAGGGATATAGCAGGACAATGTCATTATAGCATGGGAACAAATGTTCCAAGTCTGTGATATATATAGATATATATATATCTCTCTATATATATCTATATATATCTCCAGCATCTGCAAAAACAACTGTGTCTGGTTTCAGGAGACCTCAGATCGGTCCTTAGGAGCTGTGCATCTTGGGTAGGAGTCATTTTGCTTACTTGTCCCTCAGATTTTTTTTTATTTTTAAAGTTGGAGTAAAACTTACTCTCCACCTGCCCTATTCACAACCACATCAGAATTGCCACTCCTTTAACAAGCACTTACTGAGACACTCACAATATGCCTAGAATGGTGCATGTAAAGGTCTTCAAGATATAAAGTGATATGAAAATAAAACATTATTTCTTTTCCCGGTTCCTTTCTTTTAGAAAACATCCCTCTATTGATTTAGGTCAGGGAAAAGGTGCCCCAGAATGGTTCCATTTGAAACCTGAGGAATCCATATATGAAATATATGAAATCTGTTATCATGACCTTCTGTAGGCAAAAGGAAATCTTAACTTACCTACAAGATAGGCCGAGATATTATGGTGATTAATCATGTAAAACTTTTGTTCCTTTATCTAAAATTGCTGATAAAACTCTCAGAACTTTGACTTTGGAAAAAGTAAAATACTATAGCTTCAAGATGTCGTATTAATCTCCCTGAGTTAGGAAATGTTTAAAGCTTCTAAATTGGTGAGAATAGGATAACGTGGGGGAAACACATACTTTTGTTTTGTGAGAGGCTGCCAAATACACATCTAGTGTGGTTTCTTCCTCAATTAACCTGAGGGTTTAACCACTGTCAGTTGCATACCAGAGACTAATTAAAAGTTGACTTTTAAAGAAAGCTCTGCCCAGTCATAGTGGATCATCATACGGAGAAATATAAATATGTATTGATTCAGAGATATTTTGAACTGAAAGAATTAGAGCCCACAAAAATGCATACATGAAACTCTTCATAAAGCTAAGACCAAATTTGACCAGAGGTCTAGGAATATAAGTATGACTCTGGAAGCCAGATAAATCTGAAATAAAGAAAAAAGGATTGGGCAGTTTGACATACAAGAAGCTTTTATTGGGTGCCCCTCATACAGAAAGTCTAAAGAGGGTCTGAGAAGGTGCAATTGAGTATGTTTGCCTTCAGGTTGCTCAAAGTCAAGAGTGCAGATGGAGCAAGGGATAGGAAAGGAATTTGTTGAGAACACAGATGTGTGTGACAGATTGGAGCTGTTGAGGGGGAGTGAAAGCTTTCTGGAGAAACTTCTGGAGTTCCCATTAGAGCAAAGCAGGACATGGTTTGGGGATAGAGAACTTTTTTTCTTTATAAGGGATGACTTAGGAAAAAGCTGAGAATGCTTTGTCTTTGGATTGAAAGCATTTTCTCTTTACTGTTTTCTTATATAAGGTGACTATAAAAGAAAAATTTTTTCGGTTACTTAACTAATGGACAACATTGTCTTTGAAACCTAAGAGAGGGGTGTGGCTCAGTCAGTTAAGTGTCTGCCTTCGGCTCAGGTCATGATCCCAAAATGTCCTGGGATCAAGCCCCACATCAGACTCCCTGCTCAGTGGGGAATCTGCTTCTCCCTCTTCCTCTGCCTCTCCCCTGCTTGTGCTCACTCGTGCTCTCTCTTGCTCTTGCTCACTCTCTCTCAAATAAATAAATAAATAAATAAAATCTTTTAAAAAATCTAAGGAATAAAACATGTACCACAGTTATTAACATTATTTTTAAACTCTAATTTTACTTCTTCATTTATAGCATGTCTCAGTGGAATCAAGTCCAACAATTAGAAATCAAATTTTTGGAGCAAGTAGATCAATTCTACGATGACAACTTTCCTATGGAAATTCGACATCTGTTGGCTCAGTGGATTGAAAATCAAGACTGGTAGGATCAAACATTATTTTATTTTCCCTAGAGGTTGATGTACAAATGCTTTATGCTCTATCCCTGTGGATTTATTCTGTGAGCTTGACTGAATAGGTGCCTTCTTTCAGATAAAGAATTTTCTTCAAGGATTTGGAAAGCTTCTTCAAAGGAAGAGAATCATTGTTCTTTCTGGTTTTATCGGTTGTAGATGAAAACTTAAGGCTTCTAGTGCCTTGGTTTTTTTTAAGCCCAAATCCCAGTAATTTCTGAATATTAAAAAGCCAAGAAGTAAACCTATTGTTTATCTCAATTTTCAATTTACAAATGCAGTGTAAATAATTATTTTTTCTTATTATGTTTTATAATCATTCTTTAAAGCTCTGTATATCATGCACAATAATTTTTTTGCTTTGAATAATCCTCTAACTTTTTATTGTGATAAAATATACGTAACATAACATATGCCATTTTAACCATTGTAGATAGATGGTTTAGTGGCATCAGGTATATTTACACTGCTGTGCAATCACCACCGTCCATCTCCAGAATTTTTTCATCTTCCCATAATGAAACTCTATCCTCATTAACCAATAGCTCTTCACTGTCTGTACCCCAGACCCGGCAACCACCATTCTATTTTCTGTCTCTCTGAATATGACTCTAGGTACTTCAAGTAAATGGAATCACACAGTATTTGTGCTTTTGTGGCTGATGTATTTCCCTTACCATATTTTTTTCAAGGTTCATTCATGTAACATGTATCAGAATTTCCTTCTCTTTTTAAAGCTGAATGATATTCTATTGTAGATGTATGCCACATTTTGTTTATTCATCTGCCAGTTAACACTGGAGTTGTTTCTATCTTTTGGCTATTGTGAACAAAGTTAATATGAACATTGATGTACAAATATCCATTCAAGGTCCTGCTTTCAATTCTTTTGAGTATCTACCCAGAAGTGGAATTGCTGTGTGTAATTCTCTGCTTATATTTTGAAAAATCTCCATCCTGTTTTCCACAGCGGCTGTACCATTTTCCATTCCCACCAGCAGTGCACAAGGGTCCCAGTCTCTCCATACCCTCACCAACACTTATTATTTGGGGTTTTCAGTAATAGCCATCCTAATAGGTATGAAGTGGTAGCTCACGTTTTGATTTGCATTTCCCTAATGATTAGTGATGTTGTGTCTACTTTGATGTGTACAGTTTAATTTGTAAAAGCCTTTAAATGCTTGTCACTGTGGAATAGATCGATCTCTTAAAATTAGTATGGTAAAAAAGTAGACATTCTACTAAGTTGTTTCCTGCTGTGTAATAACACTTTTGTTTTTTAGGGAGGCGGCTTCCAATAATGAAACCATGGCAACAATTCTTCTTCAAAACTTGTTAATACAGCTGGATGAACAGTTAGGTCGTGTTTCCAAAGAGAAAAACCTGCTCTTGATACACAATCTAAAAAGAATCAGGAAAGTCCTTCAGGTGAGAATGCATTCTACTTTTTCAAAAATGTTTGGATTTATGTGTCTTAAATTCAATGAAAAAATCAAATCTGTACCCTTAATATTACTTTCAGTTCAGATTTAAAAGAGGGGAAATTTGAATTCTCTTATCATTTTAAATTTTATGCTCTATTTCATTTTATTAATTAATGTTTGTTTTTCATGTAATTTCTATCTGAAATACACTGTAAGTGGGAGGGTGTGTGTGATTTGCATGTGACTATTTACTAGTTATGTTCAAATTTGACGCTGCTGGAACAAGGATTTCAAAGATAATAGGTTCCTGACTATCCCCTAGTCCTCTCTTGCCTTTCTCTCTCATGTAACAATTTCGTTAGTATTGTTTTCCCGTTTGTAGATAGAGGTATCATGGTTGTATGTATCCTTCCAGAGTTGGTTCACATCTTACCTCCTCCCAAAGCGTGCCTTGGTACTCACTAGCCCCTAGCTCTAGGTCTCTAGCCTCTAGCTCTCCAAAGTTTCGCCCAGGCAAAGCTCTTCCGTCTGTGGTCTGTGTTCTCACAACACCTGCAACACATAGGTACCATGGCTCTTAGTGTATTCTTCATCAGTGGAATTTCTGTGTGTTTATCTTCTCCCCAAAACTGTGGACTTTAGTATTCAGCTTTGAATTCCCAGTGCCTACCACAAGACTGAATATAGTAGATGTGTAATATTCATTGACTACAGGGATGAATGAATGAATGAATGGAGTGAAACAAGTATCTAAAGAATTAAGGGCAGGCTAATACTGAGTTAAACTCAGAGGTGCTAACATACATAACGAACTCTGAACATGAACTGCTGTAATGTTTCCTGAGTGTCTATACAATGTATTAGACAACATGAAAAATGCATGTGCCATTTCTCAGTGAGGCATTCTTAAAATCCCAAAGTTACAATGAATACATTTTTAGAAAATTTTACCTAGACTATGATAGAAATGTGCCGGAAGTTACGAACATTTGTGGGAGGGGCATGTATGTTTTACCTATTGTATGGATTGCGCCGAGCCATCTTTGCTCTTGTAATCCCCTACAGGTTTGCAGAACATGTGGCCCAGGTAGGAAAATAGCTTGTTGCCAACAAAACAGGATTTTTCACAGCATAAAGCAAGCATTTCTCTACAGAGATAAGACATTTAACCTTGGCTTTATTAGCTTAGGGCTCCAATCAATAAACCTAAAACAGGGGTGGGCATACTGCTACTCACAAGTCAAATGTGAGTAAGTCCCTGCCTGTTTTGAGGGCCTGTGACTAAGAATGGTTGTTACAGTTTTAGGTGGTTGAAAAAGAATAAAAATAAAATAAATACGTTTGTGACATGAAAAATTCCATGAAATTCAAATTTTTGTATTTTAGTGAACTCAGCCATGCCCATTCATTTACATATTGACTCACTGCAGCGACAGAGATTGTCCCCCAAAACCTAAAATAAAAATGTGTGTGTGTATTGTGTATGTGTATGTATCAATCATATTTATCTGGCCTAGAAGCAAAGGCCCTACAGGTCACTTGGTTAAAGGGACACAGATGGATAAAATGAATGATACATGGTACTTGGAAATTCTGAAATTTGAAATTCTCAAAATGTGACCTTGGGCAATCAATCTTTCTGAATGCTCACATCTTTTCATGTAAATGAGGATAATCCTCATTTACTTTTGGGGATTGTAAAGAAGACTGGAGTTTGTATTCTGGCAAAAAAAATAGGCTTCCAATAAATGGTTTTTGTTGTTGATGGGGAAAAGAACAGGATTTTCTTAGGAGAAATCAAGGGTAAATTTACAGCCCATTTAGGGGGAGGTGGAGATAAGATTTTGAGGCAGTTTAAGAACCTGCAGTAACTCTCATTCACATTTCAACTCAAGCAAAAACTCTTTTGTGTTTGTCACAGGCCCTCCAACATCTTATCTCTGTAGACCCCTCCCAACAAACTGCCCCATGCTCCTCGACATCCCTGCCCCAGAAAAATAGATCTTCTTATTCCCAAACATACCAAACTCACTCTTCAAAGACTCTGAGCCTCTTTCCATGGCTAAGAATGCAATGCCATCCCTCTCACTCCAGCCCAGTTGCCAGTCATTCCTGGAGGACCTGTGGATGTCCCAGTGCATCAAGGAAATCTTCACCCTCATCCTTCACGGAGCACAGGTTGCAAGATAACCAGCATCTCCTCTGTGCTGGATGTGACTAAGCAGGTCACAAGCTCTTTGAAGTAAAAGCCTGACCTCCTTTTTTGACCTCCCTGCTCCCTCCGGTACCCCCTGTGGTTCTCCTACAAACTAGGAACTCAAAAAACAGTTTTGTTGGTTAAGATATTTTGAACTGACAAAACACTTGCTCTTTCCTTCATTTTATAAGCTATACTTTTTGAGTATTTGTATTAATTCAGAATACAGTAAAAAATAGTAATAGAGAACATTGTCAACTATGGTTATAGATCTAAACAAACCTGCATTTTATGTTTCTTTTTAATATATCATATTCCCATTATTGTTTATTTTGGGGTTTTTTTTTTGACAAGTCTTTTTGATAAAACAACACCCCCTGCTTCCCCAAGAATTAAAAGAGAAAAAAAACCTCCTATCAAAAGACTGTTAACACCGTGCTTATCCGGTTTGAATGTTTTCATCCTGAGATTTTAAATGCAATCCATGTTAACTATTATAGCAAAAAAGAGCAAACAATACAGTTCCAGGGGAATTAAACCAGTGTAAGGCAGATTTATTTTAGTTCTTTACAGAACAGCTGAGTTCTCCAGTTTCAATATTGTAATTTACTCTGAGGTGGGAAGCAGCTGAACACCGATGTCCAGCTCACCTTTGCCCCTTTAAGGGGAGGCAGCTTCAGGTCAAGGCCAGGAGTAAAGACTGCCTCAGGCTGAACCCTGGCTCTGGGGTGCACTTACCTTGCCCTATAGCCCAGCGCAAGATGTTTGCACTCTCTGGCCTCAGTTTCCTCAGCAGTGGGGAGCAGAATCACACTCGTTCATACCCCAGGGGTGTTAGAAGCATTAAAAAATTCTGAAGAATGTGGTAAGCTTAGGATTTGCTAAAAAGAAATACCTGCCCTAGATATTTCAAGAATGCTTTGCCCTGTTCCTGGGCCTTTTTTTTTTTTTTTTTAAACCAATAGCCTATATTTTAGAGCAGTTTTGGATTTATAGAAAAGTTGAGCAGAAGGTACAGAAAGTTCCCTTATACTCCCTCTCTACCTGACCCTCCCCAGTGTCCCCTATTAGAAACATCTTGCATTGCTGTAGTACATCTTTTACAGTTGATGAATCTGTTGTGATACGCTATTATTAACTTATGGTCCAAGATTATATGAGGCTTTACTCTCTGTGCTGTCCAGTTCTATGGGTTTTGGCTAATGCATAATGTCATATATCCACCATGTCAGTTTCACTGCCCTAAAATCTCCTCTGCTCTACTAGTTCATCCTTCCCTTCCTTACCCCAAACTTCTGGCAACCACTGATCTCTTTTTACTTTTTCTCTGTCCTGCATTTTCCAGACTGTCATATAGTTGGAATCATATAGTCTGGAGATTTTCCAGATTGGCTTCTTTCGCTTAGTAATATGCTTTTAAGCATGTCTTTTTGTAACTTGAGAGCTCATTTCTCATTATTGCTGAACAATATTCCCTTGTATGGATGTACTATAGTTTGTTGATCCATTTTTGGCAATTATGAATAAAACTGATATTAACATTCATGTGGAAATTTTTGGGTGGGCAGGAGTTTTCAACCCATTTGGTTAAATACCCAGGAGCTTGATTGCTGGATCTTTGTTCTTGGGCTTTCAATCACAAGCCTCTTTTCCTACTTACTCATCTTCCTCACTGTATCTTTGCCTGCTCAGGCTGCTATAACTGAAATATAATTGATTGAGTGGATTTGAAATAACAGGCATTTATTTCTCACAGTTCTGGAATCAAGGAAGTTCAAGGTGCTGGCAGATTCAGTGTCTGATTCAGCTTCCTGGTTCAGAGACAGCTGCCTTTTCACTGGACCTCACATGGCCCAGTGGGGAGGGAACTCTCTAGGTTTTCTTTTTTTTTTAATTTTATTTTATTATGTTTGTTAGTCACCATAAAATACATCATTAGTTTTTGATGTAATGTTCCACGATTCATTGTTTTTGTATAATACCCAGTGTTCATGCACTACGGACCCTTCTTAATACCCATCACCAGGCTAACCCATCCCCCCACCCCCACCCCCCTAAAACCTTCAGTTTGTTTCTCAGAGTCCATAGTCCCTCATGGTCTATCTCTCCCTCCGATTTCCCCCCCTTCATTTTTCCCTTCCTTCTCCTAATCTCTAGGTTTTCTTCTATAAAGATGCTAATCCCATTCATGAGGGCTCTACCCTTATGACTTAATCACCTCCCAGAGGCTCCACCTCTTAATAGCATCACATTAGGGGTTAGGACTTCAATATATGAATTAAGGAAACACAAATATGCAGCCTATAAGAAACTTCCTATCTTTCTCCCTCAGAATGACATCTAAAAAATTAAAGTGGGGGCACCTTGGTGGCTCAGTCAGTTAAGTGTCCGACTCTTGATTTTGGCTCAGGTCATGGGCTCGAGCTCCATGTTGTGGAGTCTGCTTAAGATTTTCTCTTTCTCGGGCACCTGCGTGGCTCAGTTGGTTGAGCGACTGCCTTTGGCTCAGGTCATGATCCTGGAATCCTGGGATCGAGTCCCGCATCGGGCTCCCTGCTCAGCGGGGAGTCTGCTTCTCCCTCTGACCCTCTTCCCTCTCGTGCTTTCTATCTCTCATTCTCTCTCTGTCAAATAAATAAATAAAATCTAAAAAAAAAAAAAGATTTTCTCTCTCTCTGTCCCTCCCTCCCTGTGTGTGTATGTGTGCATTCTCTCTCTCTAAAAAAAAAAAAAATTAAAATGGTGCATATTCATAATAAAAAATTAAAGTAATACAGGAAAAAATGCAAAAAAATGAGATAATCCAA